TGAGAAGGAAGTGGCATGACCTCATGTGGAATAAAATGCCAAGAACCTAGAGGCAATGATCGGAGTATAACTTGATAGCATATTAAGAAAAATCTCAATGAATTTATATTGTTGAATCTTTAAGAACTTAAATATTGTAAATATCAAAAGCAAAATTTAATGTCCACTTACAAAATAATAGTGAGATATGTGTGCATATATATAAATAATTGTTTAATTTTTTATACAAAATAGAAGTAGAATATGACTATGTATCTGAGTGCTCTCTGTGGTTTATTTGGTTTTAATTTGAAATTTTATTTTAAAACAAAGCTATTCACTCTACCACTCTTTTGGCTTCACTCCCTTTTACCTCGTTGGTGAAGGAGGGATTCCTGTTCTTGGCTTCCAGGGATGGCCAAACACATGAGACCTAACTGGAAAAATAACATTGACAGTAGTTTGTTAGCCACATACACACACATCCTGGAGGAGGACACCGCTTGCTATGCAGAAACACAGGGAGGTTGCACTCGAGAACAGAATGAACAAGCAAGCAGAAGCTGGGGGAAGTGCATTTGTAGTAGTAATAGAGGATGTGCTGACCCCAGGTTTCCTCATAAGAATGTTAGTTGCTTGTTTGAATAATTTCAGACTGGCAGGGAAAGGAAACATATTAGGTTTTGGATGACATGGAGTGCAACTAGTCTGGCTGATAGGGGATCTAGTGGTGAGCCTTTCCCACTGGGTGGTGAGCCTTTCCCACTGGGTAAGGGACATACCTAGAAACAGCCAGAGATCTCACAGTTAGACCTTTGAGACTCTGTGAAGTCAAGAATGTCAAGTCAGCACAAAAACTTTGAAGCCTTATATTACATTTATAACACCAGGTCTATTTTTGAAAGCCTTCTATTATGAAGAATTGCTCAAGAGATATCCCAAATAGTTATAAAGCAGATTCTGAAAAGGAGCAGTCCCTTTCTTTCCACAGAAACCATGGACATTAATATAGGTATAGAAATTTAAAAAAAAATAGTGTAGAAATAATGGAAAGGTGATTAGGGTGCCAGTCTAAATGTGTTTCTGTCATACCCATAATCATAATAAATTAGTTATGGGTATTCATTATGGGTTGCTGCTAATCTTAAAAAACATGTCAAAAATATAGACAAACAACCATGATTTATTAAAATTCCTAGTGTTAATTTTAAAATACAAATGAGTTGAAAATGCATTGCCAACAGAAAAAAGGTAGCATAATAATTTGCCATTCTTTAAGTATGCTAACATATCTAATATTCTCTGATTTTTAAATTTAAGGTAAATTAGAAAGTAAAAAATGCTTTGGCCTTTTAAACATTCTTTTGCAGTGAAGCTTAATGAGTATCTAGGTAATCTAAATCAAATATATAATATAAGAAATGCAACATGTTAGTTAAGGCTTATGAGGGTAGTTACGAATAAAATCAAGGTGTTATTTCATAGTCATATAATATGTATGAAAGTTAACTGAAATTACTTTAATATTTTATAGTTTCCTTCTCATTTAAGTATGATTTTTATAAATTTATAAAATATTTCTATATTAAATAAATCAAGTCTTCTGATTTAAATAACAGATATGATATTGGATTTTTTACATCTGAAATGTTTTTTGTTTTTTTTTCCTATAGATTCAGATTTCAAAGTGGTAAAATCAGGTACCACTTTTTGTACTCACTCTTTTTTATTTGACATTGAATCCCCACTTTGTTTTTCTTGATTAAATGATGTTATACAATAAACCTAGAGTGTGTATAATAGCACTATTTGTGAACAGGCCCAAAATGATCTATATATGTTTTTATTATTCATAACAGTGCTATTCTACAGAGTTATTTTAGCTTCCTTAAATTATCAAGTGAAACTCATTATTTAATATAGTATATTTATCCTAGGGAAACATTTTAAAGTATTTCTCAAAAAGTAATACCATTGAAAATTAATATTTGCCACCACCAACTCACATTTTAACAGTCAATTTTTGTCAAATATTGGATAGATATCCACATAAAATTATCTCCAATAAATGGGCAAGTGATAACAATTATAGATACTTTAAAGTCATTTGTTTCTTCAAAATGTTATTAACACACTGTTACATAAAAGCCTGTTGCTGGACAAGTCTTCCATTTTGGGCTGTCAGGCTCATTTACAAGCTTCTGCTGTTGTTTTGCCAATAATGCAATAATGCTGTCTTGCCCTAAGAAGACTTTCACCTAGCAGCATATTAACACAGGATTTAAGAAGAAGGGACCAGAGGAGATTGCAGTGCAGCAAACTGTTTGCCAGAGGTATGTGTGCTGATGTTAGTTGTAATAGGCCAAAGTGGAATTAAAGAAAAAACAAAATTAAAGAAAAAGTCTCCTTTTAACAAAGATTAGGGGAGCTGTTTCAACATCTTTTGACTGACATTTTTGCAGATGTTTAAGTCCTATGAGCTGAACTACAATTTATGGAAACAAAAGTTAGCACCTGGTGATTTTTCTTTGAGACATCTCGTTGAGATAAGACATTTGATTTTGAGTTTTCAAGACCACCTCAGAGACAAAGTGCCATTCAGTATCTCCTAATGCTATTAACATATTTTGTGGCTGGTAATATTTCAGCAAGTCTTCCTTCAACAATATCATGAATAGTAAATAAGTGACTAAACTGTGGTAAAATCTGTAGGAATAAACCATACATTCTCAATGGGGATTATATCACCCACAAGGGGAACAGTTTGAGTGGTGGCATCTTAGCTATTACAATGGTTTGTGGTCCTCCAAAGCACCATATAGTACATAAACAGTTATCTCTGGTGTGAAAGTTTCCCTTGGGAAGTTAGGAAAAAAAATTGCTAAAAGGGCTGCTGGGGTGAAGGAATGAAGATAGAATAAAGTTTTTGAGAGATAATGGTATGAAACCCATTCATTTAAGATTTGAAGCCATATACTTTGTTTACTTAGAATTAACACATCCAGTAAAAGGCAAAACTTGGCTGAATTGGTAAATTTGCAAATGAAATAGTAATCCTAATGTGGCAGTAAATAATCTTCTTCTGAATAGTTGCCTAATGATGTTGTAACATTAAAAAAACTGAAAACAATTATACTTTATAAAAGTTAAATATGTTATTATCACTGATTATTTTTATATTACTTTGGTCAAAGTAAATAAACGATAAAACTTACAAGCAAAGTTACAGGTTTTTTGTGTTTTATGTTTTAATTAATGTATTCATTTTCAATTTCAGAAGGAGTAAAACGTGGGGGAATTATTATCAAAATATTTTAAAATTCAGCTTGATAAAAAAAAGTGTAGAAGAGTATATTAAAACATCCCTTCAAATGAACATGAGAATTAAAATAAACAGATTTATTTTGTATTAATTTAATTATTGTTTTATACTTAATTTTTTTATTATACTTTAAGTTCTAGGGTACATGTGCACAATGTGTAGGTTTGTTACATATGTATACACGTGCCATGTTAGTTTGCTGCACCCATTAACTCGTCATTTACATTAGGTATCTCTCCTAATGCTATCTCTCCCCCCGCCCACCCCATGGCCGATCCCAGTGTGTGATGTTCCCCGCCCTGTGTCCAAATGTTCTCATTGTTCAATTCCCACCTATGAGTGAGAACATGTGGTGTTTGGTTTTCTGTCCTTGTGATAGCTCTCTCATAATGATGGTTTCCAGCTTCATCCATGTCCCTACAAAGGACATGAACTCATCCTTTTTTATGGCTGCATAGTATTCCACGGTGGTTTTATACTTAATTTTTAAATCATAGAGACAATATTTGCAATTTCTGGTAGTGATGTTCTTCAATAACAATTATTTTTATGCAGGTTGTATGCTAATAAACAAGCAATTTAAGGTAGCAAAAGTCACAAATGTTACAAATAACCAATTTAACTAAACGCAGCTAGAATAAAATAATATGTGGTCAGTCTAATGATATGTAAAAATCAATGGCTATGTACAATAAGCCCAAAGTCCTTTTAGAAACCTACTGAAAAATAACACTTTGCTAAATTTGTTCTCTTCAAGTAAAACTATTATACCAAAAACTTCATGTAAGAAAACATTAAGTTACACTATGAGTTTTAGAATGTAAATGTAGTATCTGTTTTATACAATTACTTTTAACGTAACTATTCAACTAGTAAACTTACTTTAAAGATGTTATGCATATTTTCACTATATTTGCAATTTATATGCTGATATATTTTCCATGCTAGTGAATGGATTTTTTTTTAGAGTGATAATTTCAAGCTATGCCATATTGGAAAACGGATTGAAGGGAGTAAAAAAAAAAAATAGGGAGGCAGAGAATGTTACATAGACAATGACAAAGAATAGAAGTCATCCATTATTATATATAGAAGCTTATTTCTCAAAAATGAGTTACTATGTCAATTTTATTGAAAAAACAAATGAATCTAAAGATTTAGTTACCTTAAAAAATCATTCTAATAAGAAGCAAGTTGAAACAGAAAACCACATTTCAGAAAACACACACATATGTGCATTTACATATATGTATGTGTGCATACTTATATTGTGCAAATCAGCTACTAGATAAAAGCTGACATCCTAGGTTTCACTGTAGCTATGTTGAAGGGAAAGGCTTTGGGCAATGCAAAATATTCTAGGAAAAGTATACCTTACTGTGATTTAGTTATGAACTTCAGCTTGAAATAACTGGAAACTGAGTATGTGTTGTACTTTTAAGATAAACCCATGTACCAAGCTATATTTAAAAATAGAAATAAATGACTACGATAGAGATGATTGTCCAAGAGGAAATAGGAACCTAGCTAGCTAGTCTAGCTGCAGGGACACAGATACAGGCTGAATGGCATTAAACTTAAAACTGAACTTGACTTCTGGTCATGAATCTCAATGCCACCCTCAAAGTGATGCTCTGAGTTTTCAAATATGATTACAAAATTTAAATTTGTTTTCTCCTGTGTATTCACAATAATATTATAAAACTCTGAAACATCATGGTCTCAGATTTAGCCCTAGTTACCCACTTTTTGGTATGTCTTTAATAAGCTAGCATTTGAAAAAGGATTGACGGAATTTGCTGGGGACAGTGGCAATTTTTACATGAGAAGAGGTTCTAGTGGGTACATTAGTTATCAATACTTTCCTTCAGAGCGTCCCATGCAGAGTTTCCTCTTGAAATGTGATTTCAACCTCGAAGATAAACCCTGTGTTGAGAGAGATGTTGAATTACGAATTATTCTCAGCACAATAATTCCCAACTCTAAAATTCAGCCTAAGATAAAACTTAATTTATGAAGTTTCCATTTATAAAAGGTTAGTTTGGGTCATCTTACATTCCAATGGGGAGGATAGAAAATAAATTCTCAGACTATGTAGAGCTTTAACACATTTTTAAATAAAAAGTCATTGAATAATATGCTATTTGCACTACTTTGGGTTTTCATACATTCTTAAATCTCTTACAACTTTCTGTAAAACGAGTCCTTACCTTAATATATACATAAATCTGTCTGGATTTCCCCATTCTCTTTTCATTTCTTGGCTTCCAGCAGCTCTTCTTAAAATATGAATAAATTAATTACTTTTCTAATATTCGTTGAAGGTTATGAACACATATTTCAACAACAACCACAAATAGAGGTAAAATATGCTGTGTTCTTTAATTCTTATCATAGACATAAATGCTGCCCAACTTATACTTACTTTGAGGCAAGAAATCTGTTAATTATATAGCTTCAAACATGAATGATTCATGTCCAAATATGTTCTAGAAACAGGCATGATCAGAATCTGAATTTACAATTTAGGTTTTTTAATCCTATTTTTAAATTACCTAGAATATACTAGCTAGTACACTATTTATATCATCTTCATTTACATGTTACAAAAGGGAGAGATGTCCTCATTGTTAGGTATACAATATAATTAATTTATTGTATGAATGTGGAAACTTTATAAAGAAAAATTTTGTGTTATCAATATTTACTACTACAACAACCAGCATGAACCAAAACTTTTCTGGGAAAACAGGCATGCAGGGTCACCCTAGTCACATTTTAAGTCAGCCAGATTTTCTGATTTATTCAATCAGAAAAGACATTTTGTAAAAGGAAACTGGATGGCTCAAAGAATCTCTGGAAAGACCGGAGAAAACTAAGTTGGGTAGATGGACAGGAAAAAAAAAATGGTACTCTAATCAGAATTGGCTGAAATTATGCCATAGCACCCATTTGCTGAGGATGGTGCTGCTAATGCTCAAACCTGTGGGAAACCAGAATGCAACATCGCCCCCCTCTGTCCTGGACCCTGAGAACAAGTATGCTGGAAACCATTGCCACTACTATGCTGGGAACTCCACCTTCCTGCCATTGCTACTTCTAGTAGAGGTATCCTTCTATTCCTCTTCCCTGGTGTCACTAGTTCTCATTTCAAAATCCAGGTATGTGAGTCCAGTTGGCCAAGCCGAGTCATGATTTACTCTGGCCACCATGAGACCTGGAAAAATGACTAATATTTTCATCTTTTATAATAGTTTATATGGTTTAGCTTTAAACAAGACTTAAAAGGTGAGAAATTGATCAATATTAGGAATAAGATAATATTTCCCCATATGAAAAGTGTACATATGAAAAGTGTACATCAAAGTATGATTTCTTAAGTTTCACGCCAACGCCTATTGTATTTTCACTGTTCCAGGAAACTGCTCATGTGTAATAATGCTTCCTCACAACCTAATGATTGCCGTAAGGGTAAGAACAGCTAATTTTTAACTAATTAGAAAATATGTAGTTTATACTTTAATAATATTTATTAGGCATACAATACAATTAATTCATTGCACGAATGTGGAAACTTTATAAACTAAAATTGTGTGTTATCAATATTTACTACTATAACAGCAAGCATAAACTAAAATTTTCTGAGAAAACAGGCATGCATGGTCACCCTACTCACATTAGCCTTTGTCCTTGGACAATTCAAAATGTCCACAGGATTCCCCTTTTTTTATATTGTTATCAAAATTAATTACTAGTATACAGTGCTTTATAGAAATCTTTAAAAGGATGGTGTTGACCTTTTTATTAGCCAATTAGACACATGTAACTTACATGATGTGATTTAACTGCCATTACTAAAAGGTATCCACCTCTGTTAAATGTATCTCTCTACCTAATCTGCAATAGTGCATGTGATTATATCTTTAGAGATTTATTCTGGTTTTGCATTTTACATTTTTTGCACACAGTAGGCATTATATGATATATTTGTATCTTGTCTGTATGTGTGTGCCTTTGTCTGTGTAATAGATAAATAAATAAATGATTTTTAACATTATTCCTTTCCTGGAAACTGACAAAACAGTGTATGGGTATAATACTTGCTTTTTTTTTTTTTTTTTTTTTGACAGAGCAAAGGGTCTTGCTCTGTCACCCAGGCTGGAGTGCAGTAGCTCAATCTCAGCTCACTGCAACCTTTGCCTCCCGAGTTTGAGCGATTCTTCTGCCTCAGCCTCCTGAGCAGCTGGGACTACAGGTGTGCACCTTCACGCCCTGCTAAATTTTTGGTAGAGCCGGGGTTTCACCATATTGACCAGGCTGGTCTTGAACTCCTGACATCATGATCCACCTGCCTCAGACTCCCAAAGTGTTGGGATTACAGGCATAAGTTACCACTCCCGGCCCAGAACATGGGTATAATACGTTTTTCCATCATATGAAACCTCTCAAAGAAACACATCAAATTTTGGTTTGAAATAAGTCCCAAGAAAAATACAATAATAAATACAACAAATATAATAATGTAACCAATGGGATAGAAAGAGAAATAAAGAGAGTAAAGTCTTTAATGGGAGAAAAATAAGATAATTTAGCCCCTTTGAGATTGTGTCATGGCTCTGAAAGGATTAACAGAATAGCAAATAATATTTTTATTTTTATACATTTTATAAATCCAATCAATAACCTAGACTTAACCTCACTGGATCTTTAGATTAATGGTTTTTAATAATTTATATTCACAAGAGTTAATTTTATATTTACTTCCTTTTTCAAAAACAGGAATACATTCCTATCATTAGCATCATCATAAATTATTGGTTGTTGACCAGGTGCATTGTACTGTAATAACTCTTTGGGATATACAAAATGTATATCTCATTTTCTAGATAAAAAATTATAAATATATGCATAATAATACATAATAAAATATATCAAGGGCTACCGAAATAATTCATAGATTGCATCACTTTCCCAAATCCCTGGTTTGTGAATATACCTTGCCTCTGAGCCTTTTTACCCTTGTGATCTGTTCCACAAAGTTTATCACTATCTCACATACTGCCTTATTTCTGCTGGAGTGTACATCATACCATCTTTTGTGCCTGGTACACTGCTGGGTGTTAGATATTAAAAGATAAAAAATCTTATCCCTCTCTTCAAGAATGTTATACTTTATTGAAAACTCAGTCTTTTAAATAACTTATTTTTTTGAAGAAAAAAAGGAATGCAAAATTTAATAGTTGTTCTGCTGAATACCTTAAGGTGAAATGCAGTGAAATGTATAGGTGGCTTTGTCTGGAAATGATCCACAGAAGTGATATTAAACAAAAACATGTCTTAAAAGTTGAAGAAAAATAACAAAGACAATGTACTCAATAAATAATCAGAAATTGAACTGTGTTTGCTCAAGTAAGTGGATAAGCATTGGCTTCACTTTAATGGTACGGAATGATTTGAAAATATGTTAGTGGGGTGTGGTGGCAAGCTTGTAGTCCCAATACTTTGGGAGGCTGAGGCAGACGGATCAGCTGAGGTCAGGAATTCAAGACCAGCCTGGCCAACATGGTGAAAACCCGTCTCTACAACAATACAAAAATTATCCAGGCATGATGGTGGGTGTCTGTAATCCCAGCTACTTGGGAGGCTGAGGCAGGAGAATCGCTTGAACCCAGGAGGTGGAGGTTGCAGTGAGCTGAAATCATGCCTTTGCATGAATGAATAAATCCATTCCTGGATTAATGGATTCAGGGATTATCTCAGGAGTAGGACTAGTAGCTTAATAATAAGATGACTTGACTTGAGATAGCACATCAGTTCCCTGGACATGTGATACCTACATTGCCTCAGAAGTCTTCAGAGTTCCTGCCAGCAAGAAGGCCCTCACTAGATGCATCCTCTTTGACCATGAACTCCTCAGCCTTCATAACAGTAGAAAATAAATTTATTTTATTTATATATTACTCCGTTTTAGGTATTCTGTTATACACAACACAAAACAGATTAAGAATTCTAATTCCAGGAACCTATAATAAGAAAATAAATAATGATGTAAACATTGATTTATGTTTAAGTTGGTTCTTTGCTGCATTATTTATGAGAGTAAAATTCTAGAAAGAACTAAATATCCTATGGTAAAATTAGTCCTATGAATTATTTTGTGTCATACAAGGAATTAAGTCTCTAATAGTAGAACATGTTTAATAACATTAAAACTTTTCACAAATAAATGTTAAGTACAAAAAGCATGTTAAAAGTATATGTATATTTTTACAGCAGTAATCTCTGTGGATTTCAACTTTTTTTGTTGTTTTCTGTGTTTCCTAAAACCTATATAAGTAACATGTATTTCATTATCTTACAATATAATATATACTTTATAGGAAACACAGACTTTTTCTACTCTGTGTGATTATCTGCAAGGTCTTGTGAATATATAGAAAAGAGTAAAACAAGTGCTCAACAAATATATACTTAAGCATCAATTAATATAATGAACAATTGTGGAAATATAGATCCTTCTTATACTTGTAGTGTATGTAGTACAGTGTGATATATAGCTAAGAGTATTACCCTTACTGGGCAAAACTTTGGTTGCCTTATTCATGTTAAATAACAAAAATAATAAATTAGAATTTCTGAATATATAAAATTATATTTTGATCAATATTCTTTCCGATAAGCCCAATATAAGATTTATTACAAAAATAAGACTATATGAGAAACTCAGTTTTACTCCAAATAGCCAAACTTATGGCCCAAAGTAATAAAAAACATAAAGTGATGTGAACATAGGACAGTGATACTTTAAGCCACAAAAGAAAACGGTACGTGCATTTTGACGTGTTTTACTGAGATTGCTATTTCTTTGATGAGAAATAAAAGTTGCTAAGTTATAAAAAGTGATATACTATTAAAGAAATATTGTAAAAATATTGTATTAACTTCACCTTCAGTAATTGTGTAATATTTTCATTATCTTAGCACCCAATTCCTAGAATGTTATAATCTACAAAAATAAAATATGAAAATATGTGTGAGAATCTTACATTCTAAGCATATTTGTTTATAGGTACAATTGATTTGTAACCCTCTTGTAGTTTACAATTATTATCTCAAGATGAAAAAATTCACAATGACCCCTTTATCTTATGACAGTAGTAGATTAAACTCAGGACCAATGAATTCTCTCCCCCAGTGGTTATACTGTTTATTACTGGTTTCAAATCATAGCAAATATTAAATATGGTAACAATTATCCTGAGTTCAAATGTGAAAAGTCTAAGGAAAGCAAGAGACACTAGGTCTGTTGTAAAATCATTTTTAAAATGTTTTGGATTCAGAAAAAAAGAATGTGAAGGGATCAAAAAAATCAGAAACTATAATATATACTAGTATATGTTAAATATACTAGTAAGGAAACTGATCCACAGAAAGCTTAACCAGAGTCATAAATGGCATTGTATTATATATTAAGAACAAAGAGAGACTTAGTAGAGTGAAAGCTTAGCTCAGGAGTCTGTAGCTTTGTTACCATAACAAAATCAACTGATGTTTTTTAATCTTGGTAAATTACTCAGTGTTACTCAGCCTCAGTTTCCACATCCATAAAATAGGATCAATTTGACTATTAACCAACAAGTTTTCTATAGTTCTCTGCAATAAAAAGTGTTGTGGATGGGGGAAGAGTAAAGATAGACTTCCTATATGTAATTTTGTATTTGTTTAAAAAGTATCACTTTTACAGTTAAAAATTAGAACAGTAATTTTTAAAGTTATTGTGAAGATTAAATAAACTGAACAAAAAAATGTTTGTTATAAATTCTACTTTTTCATTTTAAAAATGTAGTACATATGTGGAAATATCTATAAATTTGATGCCATTTGGGAAAAAATGGATAATTAACTGACAAATTTCTTCTTAATCTGAAAACATTCTTTATTGAACAATCAACATGCAACTTTTCTTGTTTGCGAGGAGAACTTGTTTGATGAAGAATAGAAATGTGTGAACATTTAATGACACAATTGAAATCTTTCTGGCCACAGCCAGGAAATTAAACTATAGCCCTGAACAAATATTATCAATCATCATCATCATCTGGAATATCCTTTATCTCCAGCTACTGAGATTATCTGTTGAGAGGCAAGGCAACTGAAGGAGTTCACTTGAGCTCAAATAGATAGTGTGGAACCCTTTTAAGAAGAATTCATGCCTAAGAAATATTCCCCTAAGGTATTAGAAATGTTTAGATCACATATAAATCCCTTATATTTTTATTCTCCACCAATACATT